ACAAAATTCCACAGCTGTTCATGGTAAAAGCTATCAGGAGACTAGAAGTAGAACAGAACCTTCTCAACAGATAAGCCATGTACTCCATACTTTGCAAAAATGCCTTATATAAATGGAAAAGATATAATGCTTTCTCCCTAAGGTGGGGAACAAGGGCAGATATGCTTACTCTTCTTCTGTCCATTAAACTTTGAAACATAGACCCAAACCAAAATAGTCTGGCAATAAAATGACACAACTAGGATAGAATTGGCACAGCAGAAGTAAAATCTTTATATGTAGATGAAATGATCATCTGCAGAGAAAACACTAAGAAATCTCTAGAAGCCCCTAGAACTTGCATTTGAATTTAGCAGGATTAGAAAACACAAGGTATATATAAAAATTCAGGTCTATGAATACTTTGTATAAATGAAGAATTGGACATTGAAATTTAAAAGCTATGTAGGAGTACAAAGGACCTAGAAAAGTAAAAAGAAAAAACAGTGTTGAAAGACACTTATCACCTAATTTTTTTTGATACTGAGGATCGAACTCAGGACCTTGCACTTGCCAGGCAGGTGGCAGAACCACTGAGCTAAATCTCCAGCCCTTATTAACTAATTTTAAGACTTCCTCTAAAGCTACAGTATTCAAGGCAGTGTTGGTGTAAGGAAAGACATGTAGATCATTGGAATAAAACAGAGAATCTAGAAATAGAACCACACATATATGCTCCACTGAGTTTTAAAAGATTATTTAACATTAACATTTTATAGACTATAAACTCAACTCAAGAGTGAGGAAAAGATAGTGTTTTCAGCAAAGGGCACTAGAACACCTGGTATCTGTATCAAAAAATTAACCTCAACCCTTTATTTCCATACATAAAGATAACTTGAATGGATCTATGAACCTAAATATGAAAGACTAAAACTATAAAACTTTAAGAAGAAATTATAAGGGAAAATTTTCATGAATTTAGAGTAGGCAAGAATTTCCTAGGATACAAAAACCACGATGTATAAAAGAAAAAATTTAATAAATGAGATTCCATCAAAATTTAGGACTTTAAATGACATCGTTAAGAAAATGAAAAGTAGTCCTTAAACAGACCATATTTATAATACATATAACCTATGGCCAGACTATATAAAGAACTCTTACAGTTCATTAATAGACACCCCAACTAAAAAGTAGACACAAGAAGATGATAAATAGCCAGTACAGCACAAGGAAAGGTATGCAACACTAGAATCAGAAAAATACTAATCAGTACAATAACAAGATCATATTATACACTCATTAAGGAGATGAAGTTAAAAGTTTTAAAAGAACAGATGTCAGCTTAGATGTGAACCAGTTAGAACTTTCGAATACTGCTAATGTGAGTGTAAAATGATAAAACCATTTGGAAAACAATATAGAAATTACTTGTATTACTGTTAAGAACCAACAGTTCTGCTCTTAAGTTTTAACTTAAGAGGAATGAAAACACATGTTCACAATAGATTTGTACATACAAGTTGACTACTCCTTATCTGAAATTCTTGGGACCAGAAGTGTTTCAGATTGTAGTTTGAAACCCACTTGATCTGCAAAGAGGATAGCTACTCCTGCTTATTTTCGGGTTCCTGTCACATGGAGTATTGTTTTCCACCCTTTAACTTTCAGTCTATGAGTTTCTTTTTGAATTAAGTGTGTTTCTT